GTCACAGCTAGGGAAACTGAGGCTCATGAGTGGGAGAGCTCTGCCTAGGTTCCAGCCAGAGAAGGGGTCAGTGCACTGGAGATGGGTGGCTGGGCAGGATGGCAGGAGGGGCAGCCTGCTAAGCAGAGATGTGGCCCCTGCAAGAAGAGTCAGGGAGGGACACACCCTGAGCAGTGCCCACCCTAGGGCTGCCACTGGCCCTAGAGGTGCAGGGAGCAGGGAGGAGCCAAGACACTCAGTCTGCCCTTAAGCCAGTAACCATGGCAGGTCACACCTGGATTTCTCCTCCTTAGACAGCACACTCGAAGCCATCAGACCTGTCCAGAGTCCATGCCATGAAGGCCTGAGACAGCTGCACTGGGACAGGGAGAACAGGCCCATCCCACCAAAGGTGACTCCAAGGCTCAAGACAGACCAGGCAGGGCCCAGGGAAAGCCCCATAAAAGTGTATGCCCATGTCGAGGAGGTGTCCCAACCCACAGGGGTATAAGAAAGTCAGAGGCACCCAAAGAAAACACCCCTTGTCTTCTATTCTGCCCACAAGGGTATATTGCCAAGGACAATCTTTATAATAGCAAAAACAGACAATGATCTAAGTGCCCATCAACAGGGCACAAGTTAAACTATACAATGGAATGATATGGACAAGTTAAAACAAAATGAGGTTGTTTGAATAATTACAGATATAATACAAAACTGGTAACTTGGTTGGCTTCTGAAAGGTGAACCGGGTGACTGAGTAGAAATGGTAAGGGGCAGACTTTTTACTGTGTACCCTGCAGAAACAGAAAGATATAAGGCACAGAACTGTTGCATTTTGGACGATGTGACTGTCTCAACTTATTCAAAATACATAGATAGAAAACCTTTTAAGTCAAAAAATAAATAAAAGAGTAAGGTGTTTCAAGAAACTGACGTGACACTCTCAGAAATATCAAGGTAAGTCGAAAGGACAGGTCACAGGGCAGAGCGCATGGTATTTGACAGTCACTGGTGGTTTTAGCCAAACGTTCCAGTTCTCCCCTGCCGGACACATGAGAGAACTGCATTGCTCAATCCCTTGTCTGGGTAGGGCCATGAATTATGAGTGTAACATCTAGGAAAGAGTACTCCATTTCCAGGGCACGACACCCAGAATTCGCTTTTCTCTCTGCCACCAGCCACACTCAGGACAGTGGCTATTGTGTCAGCATGGGCCCGGGCAGAAGGCTGACCCACAATGGGCAGGTAGCATGAGTGAGAAATAGATCTTTGTCATTTTAAGACCCAGAGATTTGGAGGTTGTTTGTTACTGCGGCATAACCCAGCCTGCCCTGACTGATACATGGCATCATTTCATGTGTATGTATGCACGGAACAAAATCTAGGCGGATGCAGCCCAAATTGCCAAGGGAGTCTGGGGACTGGACTGAGAGACGGGGGCACCTTTTACTTTTTACTTCACACACTTCTACATTGGTTGATTCTGTGTGTCCCTTTTATAAACCCTGACAAAAAGGAAACGGCCGCCAAAGCTGCGTGGCAGGAGCACTCACCTCCCCGGGGCGACATCGTCGATGCGGTTCCCCAGCTGGGACTCGTGGGACTTGCTCCTGGTGAGCGTGGGGAAGCTGGGCAGCAGCTGGAAGACCTTGCGGCTGGGCGGCGGCGGCGTCCGCGGCGGCCTCAGCTTGGCGTGCCGGCGCAGCTGCGGCGTGGTGGGCGGGGTGAGGAAGCTGTGCAGGGCGCGGGGCGTGAGCCGGCCGCTGGCGTGCAGGGGGACACAGGTGTCCGAGAGGCCCTCGCTGAGGCCGGGGGCCGGCAAGTCCGAGGCGGGCAGAGCCGACACGGAGACGGAGCGCGGGCCCTGGGCGCCGTTGCCCACTCTGCCCAGCGCGGCGCTGCCCGGGGGCCAGGCCAGGCCGGCCGGAGGGAGGGTGTCCGTGGGGGGCCCCGAGCCGCTTTCCCGCCGAGCGTCGGACATGCTCCAGCCCGAGTCCTCTTTGTGCTCCCCTCCTGTGGGCCGAGAAGTCGAGTCACAGGTGGTTTTGGCGAGAAGGCGCTTCCAGGCGAGGTGACAAGGGGCCAGAGAGGTTAAACACCGTGGGCGAGGAGTCACCTTTCCTTAATGGAAGGCTTCGACTACCAGCCTGTGGCCGGCTCAGAAAGGCCTCTCCTGCACACACGTCATCTTCCGCGCTATTTTGCTGACCGTGGGGCCACCGGGGCAGACATTACTACAGGGTGCGTAGCCCTAATCTGAAATCCAAATGCTCCCAAATCGGAAACTATTAACATTTCAGCACCAACATGACGCTCACAGGGAATGCGCACTGCAGCACAGCGGATTTGGGGGTTATAGGTGCTGATAAAGGCAAATACCCCCAAACCAGAGAAAACCCAAAACCTTCTGATCTCAAGCATTGCAGAGAAGGGACACTCGCTCTGCATCTGTTTTACAGAGGAGGAGACAAGGCCCAGAGAGGCAGGGCCTGTGCGGGGCTCTTCCCGGCAGGTTAAGGGGTACAAGCTGGGAAAGCCACCCCAGAAGTGGGAGACTCAGAGGGAATGGCAACTGTCCTCAATGGCAATGGTCCTCAGGGAAGGGTAAGCTGAGTGTGTAAAGGGAGGGAAAACGCCACTTCAAGAAAATTCAAATGTCAGGACAAGGGGCTGCCCTGACCTTCGGATAGCAAATTGTCCTGGGGCTTGTGAAAAAGGGTCCAGATAGAAATGGATCGACAGCCACTCCCTTCTGAGAGGAGCCCCCCAAGTGACTTTCAGCTGCCCCCACCATGGCCCCTGCCCCAGGCTCCCAAGACCTTGAGACCCGTGGGGCTCAAACTCAATTGCACAGGCCGGCTGTTCACTCAAGCATATGCCTAAAAAGGACACACGCCCTGTACTTGAAGAGTCCGATGGGAGTGACAGACACACAAGAGCATGCTGTGTCCCAGGACAGAGACACAAGGGGGCTCTGTGGAGGAGTGGGGGCTGGCCAGGGAAGGCTTCCCCAAGGAGGTGGTGCCTGGGCTGACCAGCTCAGGAAGAAGGTGCAGAAGGTACTCCAGGCAGAGGGGACAGCACATGCACAGTAGGAGAGCACGTGACACCTGCTGATGACGGTTGGAAAAGCCAGGGGGAGGCAAGAGATGAAGTCAGAGGGGTCACCCCAGCTGGGGCCACTCAGGAAGGGCCTGGAATGTCTCATCAGGGACTTCAGACACAGAAGGGTTGAGGGCAGGGAGAAGGGACTCCATCCGAAGAGACCCAAGAGGCTGTCATGGGGAAGGAGAAGACATCCCCCTCCTCTCCTATCTACCAGTGAGTGGACAGTGCAGGAAGGCAGATTTTGACTCAAGACAAAAGGAGCCTCCACGTTACATGCACACATACCCCGCCTCCCTCCACCCTCCCGCCAGGCCCGTTCTTCTCCCTGGTGTTCAGCGGAGGTTGCTGAGACTCAGAGAGGCCACGGGACTGAGACAGCGGTGGGATGGGAATTGAAAACCTCAATTTCAGCACATGCCCCCTCCCGCAATGCCGGCGACTTTGAATGACCCACAGTGGAACAGCACTGGGAGTAACAAGCTCTCTGTCCTCAAAGGTGGTGGGGCCATTTACCAGGGGTGGTGGGGAGGGTTTAGCCTTCACAATTCGTAAGGCTCTTCTGTACATCCACCCCCTTTTCCAATCCCTTCCCTGTCACTGCATGGTGACTTTCTATCCATGGATCAACGGGGCAGGACGAGGTGCTCAGTCTCTGTGCTCCTATGCTACTTGCTGCTTTGGAACTGCAGCCTCGACTTACACTGTAGCTTACACACTAGCCTGCTGGAGGCACTGAACATGTTTCTTAGTGAGTGGATGAAAGAATGAATTTCATGAATCTGTGAGCAAGTCTGCCACCCAAGGAAACACCCTCCCCCCCCCAAGTCTTCACATTGTCTATTTAATCACCATGGCTTTGGGCCAACACAGGGATGGCAGATGGGTCTTGATGTGGGTGCCGACCCCAGTCAACCTGCACAGGGTGCTTGTGAATGAATCTGGAGTCACTCTTCGTGGATTGACTAGTGATGTCTGCTACAGTGAAAGACGGGGATTGGCAGGAATGATCGGCCCCTATTCAGCAGCACAGGGAACGTCCTCCACTCACCTTCCTTAAGACCAGGGACCACAAGGAAGTGACGTCAACATTTTCCATCACCCCACGGGCCTAATATTGAAAAGAGCATCTAATATGTGCCAGGTTCTGGTCTAAGCACTTTACCTTAACTCATTTCATCCTCACTACAACCCTATGAGAGAGGTGGTGCTATTACCTCCGTTTTGCAGATGAGGAAACTGAGGCACAGTGAGATGAAGGAAGTGGCCAAGGTGTCACAGGTTAAAGTGGCTGAGCAGAGTGCTGGCCCAGGCAGTCTGACTGCACAGCCCATCTTTGCTGTGAGCAGAACACCCTCACCTGGCCTTGCTGGGTTGCAAAAAAGATGCTCTGACTACATGACCCGACAGATGGGGGTCACTGCTGCCCACCTAGTCCGCAGCAGGTACCCATGAAGTGCGACCACTGCTGGGCAGACGAAAGGCCTCTGCCTGGGACTGCAATGTGGCCAGGACTCTCTTGAGGATGCAGGGACACAAGCTGAGACTGCATGGGAAAGAAGAAACCTGGAAAAGGTCTGTCCCTGAGGGGCCTCCTCCTGGGCTTGGTAGAAAAAGCACCCTGTGGGTTCAAAGCCCAGCTCTGCCCTGCAGCAGGTGTGGGATCCCAGGTGACTCACCCAACGCCTCCAACGGCCAGGTGTCTTAGCTACAAAATGAGCTTAGCACCACCTCTTAATAAGGTGCAGCCACAGTGTGTGTGGCACATGCCTGGCACACAGTAGGTGCTTAATAAGTTAACGATCTCCCTGTCTCGGCATCTGGGACGGGCAGAGAGCAGCCTTCATGACACAGATGGGTCACTACCACTCGACAGCTGCTCCCCTCACAATTCTTTAAGATCCAGGCATAAGATGGGAGGGAGGGAGGGCTGACGAGCTACCCCAGAGATCCCAGCTTGGGTGGCAGCGTGGGAACAACCCCATCTCTATCACAGCTCGAGGCTCAAATCCCCACTGCTGCATGTCCCTTGACCAAGCCCCGTCCCCTCCCTGGGCTGAGTCTCCTCCATGAAATGTGGGCATGAGAATGCTGGCCACGCCTCTGTCACACTTATCTCTAGCACCTGCTGGGAGGCCTGGCATGTCAAGATTGTCTGAATTGAGTGAAACGCTCTACACTGCTCCATGCTGAGAGGACTTGAGACAATGGGGCCGGGGAAGAAATGAAGCCCAGTCCTCTCTGCGAAGAAAACAGTCAAGTAGAATATAAACCTCAGTGCCCTCCTTTTAAGCCTCAGGCAGCTGGAGATAAGAGGCTCAGATAATTAAAAATTGGACCTAATTCCATTCATTAGGCTCATTTTAATGCCTTATCTGTGTAGTAGCAGGAGCATTAAGTCAGGCACTTGACGCTATTTCCAAGGCAAGATGTAGACCGCCTGCAAGTAATTCCAGGGACCTCATCACAATGCCAGGGACACATACACTTTGCCCGGGACAGCCATGCACATGCTCCCAGCTGAAAAACCACACGGTGTCTCTAAGCACGCGTGGCTCAGGCTGCCCCACATCAGCGTGTGCCTCTGGAGAGCAGAGCCCAGCCGGCCAGTGGGACAGGAGAAGGTGGGGCAAGGGCTGGGGGCCGGAATGCAGGAAGCTAGTGGAGGGTACACAGAGCCCTCCGAGGATGGAAAATCACACAGGACCAGCCCAGCAGACCGGCCTGGGATTTCCAGCAATCACTAAAGCCTCTCGGAGTTCAGACTGGCCAGACCGACCCAGATCCAGAGCCCCAGGACTGTGGGGGAGGCTCCCTCTTAGACAGGCCCATCTGAACATCCACCCTGGCCTGTGCGAGCTGCCCCAGAAACCCTGGGCCACATGTACCCCGCCCCATCGCCCGCTGCGGGCAGAGGCCCCGGCCCCAGGGAACCAGGCCAGGCTGGGCTGCAGGGAGAGGGAGTTCCCACCTACCCAGGCCCGGCACCTTCCGCAGGCAGGTGAGGGCGTACTGCAGGCGGCCGCACTCCTCGGCGCTGGCCCCGCAGCGCCGCAGCGTGTCCTTGACCTTGGCCTCGTTCATCTCCAGCAGGGCATCCAGCGTGAGCTCGCAGGGGATCTCCTGAGGGGCACGGAGGGACGGAGGGACAGGGGAGAGGCGGTGAGCAGTCGGCAGACCAGGAGGCCCCTTCCCCTGAAGGCTGGCCTCCCGCTGAGTGGCAGGGGCCAGCTGCTGCCACCAGAGCCACCACGTGCTTGAGGACACAGGCGGAGAGCCCTCCCCCCACCCTTGGTGCTCCCAGAGACGGCAGCTGAAGGGACTCGGGGTGGGGAAGAAGAAAAAGCCTGAAAGGTTTTGACGACAGCATGCTGTCCCCCCTCGCTTCTTCATATTCTTCTGCAAAGGAAAATTGTGAACCATGACAATTTTTCAGAGTGACAGGTACTCCGGACAAAGATGGCCCTTAACAATTTTGTTGTATGAGAATCAGACAAGAGAGATTTCAAATAAAACTGGCTCAAACAAGGGAAGGACTAAAAAACCCTTGCCAAGCACTGCAGAGACACTTACTATGCCGCATTATTTAACTGTCGAAGCCTCTCGCTGGGCCCACTTGACAGCTGAAGGAAGAGGTGCAGACACAAGGGGGCTTGTGTCACCTGTACAAGGTCACTGGGCCCTCAGGGCAAGAAGGTAACAGGCAGAATTTTAAGGTGGCCTCTGACCCGAGTCCCCAGTGTCACTCATGATTACATTACAGTACGGTCGTCCCCACACCCCATCGACCGTTTTGCTTTCTGCAACTTCAGTTACCTGCGGTCAACTGTGGTCCAAAACTAAGTGGAAAATTCCAGAAATACTCCAGAAATAAACAACTCGTAAGTTTTAAATTACACGCCGTTTAGAGTAGCGTGATGAAATCTCACACTGTCCCACCCAGGGCATGAATCATCCCTTTGTCCAGCGTATCCATGCTGTCTCCACTCCCCGCCTGCTGGTCACTCAGCCACGCTGGTTATCAGATCCACTGTCTCGGTATCTCATCACCTAGGCATTTATCATCTCACATCATCACAAGAAGAAAGATGAGCACAGGATGGTACAAGAGTGAGAGTGAGAGTGAGAGTGAGAGAGAGAGAGACAGACAGACAGATACCACATTCACCTGACTCTTACTACAGTATATCATAATTGTTATTTTATTATTAGTTACTGTTAATCTCTTACTGTGCCTGATTTATAAACTTTATCAGAGGTATGTATAGGAAAAAACATAGCGTAGCGTATATAGGGTTCAGTACTATTTGTGGTTTCAGGCATTCATTGTGGTCTTGAAACGTATCCCCTGGATGCCGGGTGACTGCTGTATATGGCAAGAGGAAAACTGTCCAAGTAGGCTTGATCGAATCACAAACCCTTTAAAAGCAAAGGGTTTTCTCTGGCTAGGAGCAGAGACGTCTTCAGAGGCTGGCAGCATGACAAGGACTTTGAAGGAGGAGGGGGCCACATAAGAAGGAATCCAGGTAGCCTCGAGGAGAGAGTGGTCCCCAGCCGACAGGGAGTAGGGACTTCAGACCTGCAGCCACAAGGAACTGGATTCTGTCAAAAACCTGAATGAACTTGGAAGTGGATTCTTCCCCAAAGCGTCCAGGTTTAAGAGGCTGGCCTGGCCCACACCTGGCCACAGCCTTATGAGATCCTAAGCAGGGATTCTAGCACAGTCCACCTGCGTTCCTCCGCTCCTACAGAACCGTGAGCTCATAAATGGGGGGTGTTTTAAACTGCTAAATTTGTGGCATAATAGAAACTAATACAAAGAGCAAGCATATGCATCAAGGCCCAACTGGCCTCAAAGCTTGTGCCCTTCCCTCTCGTCAAGGAGGGAAGAAACCCCTCCAGCTCTGACTCCTTTGAGCCACATGTGACACCAAGCTTGGAACAGATACGAACACCAACGGGACATGTCCCTGGCCTTAAATGGCTTGCAGCCCAGTGGGAGGTGACATGAAAACAAGTAATTACAATGCAATAATATGGATTAGCAGAGAGAGAGAATTTGAAGAGCCACTGAACCAAATCAGGCTTTCTTTTTCCCCCTTTTTTACCCCTTTCTCTATTTCCCAGATTTTCTGTAACAGGGAAGGCCAGACATCCCGCACCTTTGTAAGTGCTACAAAGCTCACGGCTCTTGAGAATCTAAGTGGATGCTCAGTGATTTGGAGCGAGTTGTATCTGACATTCACAAGCTGTAAATCTCTGACTCCAGTGTAAAACCTGATCGTCCTGCGGCATGGGGCCAGCCCAGCCCCTCTCACTACCATGTCAGTATATTCTTCACCTCCAGGGCCGTGGGCAAGAATCCCCTCACCGTTTAGAAGGATTCATCCCAAAATAAAAACAGACACGTAACAGTACCAAGCAGCTCATCACCGGTTGGCCAGACCCTCGGTTGTCAGGAATCCTTCCAGAAGATAGGCTAAAGCATCACAGGAAACCACTGATAAGAACAGCCCAGGAGAGGCTGATTAGATACACGGTCCCGCGCAGAAGCTTTTATTCAGTCAATGCACCTTCATCGAAAAGCAGTTCTGACATCTTTTATCTCATTTTACTAAGAAAAGCAACTTGGCGATATTGTCAGGGCAAGAACAAAAGTGACCGTCACCTTAACACAACCGCACAAAGCAAGCCTCCACCTTTTCTCCAGCTGGGGCTCTTTAGTTTGTCACTCCCTACCCTCCACACAGAGTCCCCGCACATTTTCCCAAAGCTGTGATGACTCAGCAGCTCCATTCCCTCCACCACCAGGCTGTGATGACTCAGCAGTCTTCCCCACATTCCACAGCCCCAGGCTGCGATGACCCAGCGGTTTTCCTGAAGATGGGAGACCTGTTTGATGGTGGCCAGAAGGGAGCCAGGCCTGGAAACCCAACTCCCAACCCAACTATAATGCAGATAGGGCTCGCTGTCTTTCTTTCCTTTCTTCTCCTCTTCACCTACACCGAGTTTCAGTTTCTTAAACATAATAACTACACCATTATTACAAACTGTTAATATTTGCCAGTGCAATATGCCCAGGGCTATACATTATCTCCGCTCTAGACAATTCAGCAAGTAGATGCCTTAAGCCCATTTTTCTGAGGTTCAGAGACCTCATGTGACATGGTCTAATAAATGGCTGGGCCAGAACTGAAGCCCGGATGTGCCCCAATTCGAAGCTCCTTCAATTGCTCCATGTGGCAAAGCCTTGGGATGCAGCAGCTTCCCTTTTGGGGGAGATTATTTTTTCAAAGTAAATTAATTTCTACCTACTTTCCGAAAAACCTATACTTTAGAATGTTCTTTGTTCTTTAAGCAAGTGAAGTAACCTCCTTAAAAAGAGAGAATAAGGCCGGGTGCCGTGGCTCATGCCTGTAATCCTAGCACTCTGGGAGGCGGAGGCAGGTGGATTGCTCGAGGTCAGGAGTTCGAAACCAGCCTGAGCAAGAGCAAGACCCCGTCTCTACTATAAATAGAAACAAATTAATTGGCCAACTAATATATATAGAAAAAATTAGCTGGGCATGGTGGTGCATGCCTGTAGTCCCAGCTACTCAGGAGGCTGAGGCAGGAGGATTGCTTGAGCCCAGGAGTTTGAGGTTGCTGTGAGCTAGGCTGACGCCACGGCACTCACTCTAGCCTGGGCAACAAAGCGAGACTGTCTCAAAACATAAAAAGAGAGAGACAGAGAGAGAGAGAGAATATATTCAAACCCATCCCCTTAAAAAATGACAAAAAGAGAAAAGGTATTCCGCTATAGCTTCGAATTAGCTGGAAAGCGTCCCTAGCTTCCGAGGCGAGGCTTCGGGGAAATCCATCTAGCCCACTCTAATAAAGTAGGGGGGCATCTTTCCTTTCCCTCCCTTGCCTCCCCTTCATGCTCCAATTCAAACCAGCACTAATGGGTGGGCAAGACCAAACTGGGGTGCAGGTAGGGGTGCTGGGGTCAAGGGAATTGATCTAGGGTCCCTTAAACTAGCGTTGCCCCTGCCTCTCCCCAGACAAAGCAACTTAACCTTCCAGCCCTTGCTTTCTGGTCCGTGAACTATGCATTTCCACACAATGAAATTAGCGTGCTTAGCAAGCCATCCAGCACCAAAGATTACGATCGTCATTTCTGAGCAACTGTCCCTCCCACTGTCTAATCCCCTCCTCCCTACAGCACTGGATTATTGAACTGGGGCGGTGCAGCCATCCACCGGGCAGCAGGCAGGCTACCTGGTACAAGGGTCTCAAACACAAAAGCCTCAGGCCCAAGCCTTGGGAAGAGACAAGACCAGCAGGGACAGGCCCCCTCTATCTATCTTTTGAGGGAGCTACAGGTGCTAGAAACACTTGGCTTGTCTTTTCACTGGATGAGAAACCCAATAGCAGCAATGGCAATACTAATCCTAAACCCACCCTCTGTTCTCACTCAGGGTTGGGGGACCGGGTTTGGAGGGTGGCCTATGGAAGGACTCCAGACCTTCTGGTTTTAAAGAAATCTGAATTGTTATTTTTAAATGACTCGTTTTTTTCACGGTGGTAATGAATTCAAACATGTGCAGACAAAACAAATGACGTCCATGGGTAGCATAGAGCCCCCAGGCCCAAGCGTGGAGACCTTATAGGAAGAATCAGGTGTCTACTGAAGGTGGATCTGACCAGTGACCTCTTTAGAGGTTATTTCTGTAGGCAAATGGGGAGGGCTGGTGGCCCAGCAGCAAGAACTCCAGTGGCCAGGCCTTCTCAGCAAGGCCTGGAAACAGAGTGCCTGGCTCGGACTCCTACAACCGACTCTGGGGCCCAACGTTGATTAAATCAAGAGGGGATGTGCAGGAGGCAGGCCTGCTCTCCACTGGGCCTCGTGGCTGTGCAGGCCCCTGGCAGCGGCCCTGGTATCTCCTACTATCATGACTCAACAATGCCCCGGAGCAACTTGGCACCCCAGACCTCGCACACGGACGTGGCTCACCTACCCACAGGGACAGACACAGCCCATTATTTCAAACCAGAGGAATTCACTCAAAACAAATTAGGGAATCACTTTTGCCACCTGCTGAAGGTGAACTCGCAGGTAAAGCCACACTGAAACCTTCTCA